CGAGACAGGGTTTCTCTGTGTAGCTTTGCGCCTTTCCTAGAACTCACTTGGTAGCCCAGGCTGGCCTCGAACTCACAGAGATCCGCCTGGCTCTGCCTCCGGAGTGCTGGGATTAAAGGCGTGCGCCACCACCGCCCGGCTCGATAATCCCATTCATTATCTGAAGATCTCCGTTGAATCCTGACTCAACTCAGTTGTTCGCTGACTCGTACTCTTTCATTTTTATTTTATTCCTTTATTTTGAAGTTTGGTATTTTTATAAATTAAAACTCTCTGCCCGTTTCACACATGTATATAATGTATTCTGCTCATCTCTGCCACCTGCAACCCTCTTTTTCATTCCCTCCCACTCGCTCTCCTTCTCAACATTTCCCACTTTCACGTCATTTTTGTATTCTATTCCTATAATCCGTCAGTTTAATTAGGATTGTTTGTATGTGCGTGGCTATAGGATGCTTTGCCTGCTCTAGCTTGGTGGACACTTTTTAACTGTGTGTTTCAAGTTCTACACTGTGAGCTCATCTTCAAGGGGCATTTATTTAGTGGTCTCGCACATGACTTGGTTGACAGCGTGGGTGTGACCATAAAGCTGACTTTGTGCTTGCCAAAGGCATCATTTTAGACATAATCCTTGGGGATTCTTAGAACAAACTGGTAACGTAAGTTCAAATCTTGGTCCCGAGTAAGGTCAGCTACAGTTCCTTTTCCTCTCCACCCCACAGCCTGTGCTGGTGGACAGGTTCCTGGTGCCTCACTTCTGCCTATCAACCCGTAGGCAAATGTTTTTCCTGCTCATCGATGCCCTGTGGTTGGTCCAATGCCCTGTCTTCTGTTCCCTTGGAGCTACTGAAGCCATTGATCACCACTGCTGGCAACGACCATCCAAAGCCACATGTCTAAAGGCCGAATACTGCTGCCTGCCCACTTTGGAGTGAGTTCTAACTCTAGAAGATGCCTGAGAATTCACTATTCAAATGGATGGATATACATATATATATACATATACATATATATATATATTTAATTTACATATTTATTTATATATATATATATGCCTGTGTGAATTTATGTGCACCTGTATATGAAGGTGCCTGTAGAGGCCAGAAGAGGGTGTCAGATCCTCTGGAAGTGGCATTATACTTGATTGAAAGCTGCCCAATGTGGGTGCTGGGAACCAAACCCGGGCCCTCTGGAAGAGCAACAAGTGCTCTTAACTGCTAAGGCATCTCTCCAGCCCTGGTATGCTTTATATTTTATACAGTGCAATTGGGGACATACTATTCTGGGTACCACCCACAGCACTGGGGTCACAGCAGGAAGGTTCTGCATCTCAGGTGTTTTCTATGGGGCTGTTTCGGGGGCCTGGGTGCTGGCCGCCAGCTTTCATTCTGCTCACACATTATGGATTCGAACTGTGAACACTCTCTAGATCGCAGTGTATTAGACACTAGCCAAAGTGTTGTGTTACTGAGACACAAAGCAAACATTCTAATCAAGTTCATTGTTAAGGAAAGTATATAATAAGATTCCTTCGGAACAGCACGCAAGACTAAATACAAAATTTATTTGTTTCATATGCACTTTATACACATAGTCTGAAGGTAATTTTGTACAGTATTTTTTTAATAATTCTGTGTGTGATGCTGCATGGTATGGAATTTTCTATTTATTGAGTTATTTGGATATTCAAAAGTATCAGACTGGGGCATTTTGGGTTTTCAGTTTAGATATGCTCAATCTTATATTATCTTATAATTTTATAATAGTTTTCATCTTAATAAATATTTAAAATATTATAAAGAGATAAGCCTCCTTCTTCAGCAACATCTGATTGACAGCATGCCTTTCTATTTGAGCCACTCTTGTGCTGGGTCACAGAGAGAGTCCTTGAGGTCATCTGAGGGTATTTACCTGGGGCAACAGATTTATTACTGAGGGCCAGCACTGCCTAGGTAGACCATGTGCACTTAAGATTCCTGCCCTTTCAAGTTTTCTTTTCAAGTGGTGTCCCTTTTGCTAGTGAAATACCGAACACTTGTGGTCACTCCAATGTCACAAAGAACAAAATACAAACACACTGTGTCAAAAACTCCTTCTAGAATGATTCTACTTCCACACAACTGCAAACAATCACATACATTTAGGGAACATTTGCACACAACACAAATTTCCTGTAGAAAAATAAACACTTTTCTTTATCACCAAATCTCCAAGGTTTGAATTTCATAACCATGCTTTGCTCACTTACCTATTTTGATCATAACAACAAATGAACTCACCCCGATTATTCTATTAAACACTAGGCATACTTGTTCTGAGATTGCAGAGACACTAGCCCTGGCATCAGACCGCCCTCACCCATCAGCATTCTGAAACCCACCATCCATGCCCCTCCCCGCTCATCTACATTGCTTACTTTTTTAAAAAATAACTTATTTAACTTTATTTTATGTGCATTGGTGGTGAAGGTGTCAGATCCTCTGGAACTGGAATTACAGTTGTGAGCTGCCATGTGGGTGCTGGGAATTGAACCCCGGGTCCTCTGGAAGAGCTGCCAGGGCTCTTCACTGCTGAGCCATCTCTCCAGCCCAACACACTGCTGACTTTCTGACCAGCTCCAGATAAAGCAGCTTATAAATTAGTCCCAGGCTTAATGTCACTCCCACGATAAACAAAAGGAGAGCGCTTTTTCACTGTGACCCCCTCCACTACCCAGCAGTCACTTACACCGTAGGACCCCACAACTACTCTAGGACCATGATGACCTCATTTCTGGTGAATTCCATTCCGTCCTGGCCATTTTTTTCCCACCATTCCTGTCAAGCTCGGTCTATGAGGTCCACACATGTACAAATACTTGGCACAGACCCCACGTAGTTTTCCTGGGACTGGTATTTCACAGCTGAGACATGAGGGACCGCAGATGCTGTGTGCTTCCGTGATTAAGGGATGAAGAGGAGGACCGAGCGAGAAGAGCCCTTTGAGAGCCGACACAGATACTCAAGCCGCTGGCACAGGCCTGGTGTCATTTATGTCTGAAACCCGACCAGGGTCCACGCTCGGCCACTTCTC